TGGCAGGGGGGTTGGAACGAGATGGGCTTTAAGGTCCCTTCCACCCAAACCAATCTATGATTGTATGATTGTGCGAGCAAGGAGTGAAACAGGGAACAACTAGCAGGTAAAACCAGAGCCCCTTGATTTATTAGCAGTTGGTTCAACAGGACCTTACACCAGCACCTGGGAGCCTCTCCCAACGCAATCCCACGGAGGGGCAGAGGGGAGGTGCAGCCCACCCAGGACCCCACACACGGCTACAGGGGCTCCTGCAAAAGCAACTGGGTGGGAACCCCCACCGTCAGTGAGGTCCCTCCATCACCCAGGGGAAAACACCGTGTTCCCCCCCCCTCGCTGCCCTGGTGAGGAGGGCAGCATCCCGGGTACCACATCCACCTCCGGCAGCAACCACTGCCATCCCACATCCTGCGGAGCAGCTCCAGCCAAGGGGAAATTTGGGCCCTTATCCCGGTAAACCCATGATGGCTCAGTCTTGTTTCCCAGCCCCGGCAGCAAACCCCAGGGGACAGAATGGGGCATGGGAGAGGGAGAGCCAGGGCTGCAGCTCTGTACGGCACCATCAGTATAAAGACGCATCTCCGGCTGGGAAACCGTGCCCCGTTTCCCCACTGACCTTCGTCCACATCACGTCTAACAACCAAAGAGACCACGTAAAACCCTCGGGGTTTAGGTACAAATTCTGGCACCGAAGAAAAACAACCCCCTGCAAAATGGGAACCAAATGAACCCTCCCACCCCCCCCGCACCCCAACATTATTAAAATACTTTCATTTTTAATATTCAAGAGGTTTGAAGTTCTCAGCATCCTTCTGATTGCCATTATCCCAACGTCTGCCCTGTCCCTGAGGGCCGGCTCTCCTCCATGCCGGGGGACGCCAGGCACCATTCGGCTTTACCACAGGAAACACCACGCGTGTACAAGATTGCAGGGTGGGCTTGGGGGGACGGAAGCGTGCTGGAGAGTGCACCAGGGACAGCAAACAGACCAGCACATCGGGACCAGCACACTGGCCCCTTCTCCAGCTCGACCGCGGTCCCACCACGCTGCCCACAGAGGGGGAGCAAGAAAGTGAGGAGCTTGAAAACGAAGGGAGATGACAAACGAAATCGTGCCTGAGTCTTTGAAAGAAGAATCCACCTTGTTCGCAGCTTTTCCACGTAGGTGTCAGGGGGATCCAGCAAACTGTCCTGTTTTCTGCCGTGGGGCTGATGGCAGGAGTGGGTCTGGGTCCCTCTGTGCTTTGGGTCTCCACCAGCTCCATTCCCCTGCTCCAGCTCAACAAAGTCACCTCCAGCGTGCCCAGAGCAGCTCCTCCGCCCTCAGAGCAGGAGGTGAGGGACAGCTCTGCTGCTGCCCTCAGGCCCAGGGGAGTGGGAGCCCGTTTTGGGCACAGAAAGAGGGAATTTGTGCGACTTCTCTGTGTCGGAGTGGGACGGGAAGGGACCTCACCGACAGGCCCAGGAATTAAAAAGGAAAACTAAAATGAAAGAGAAACGGGTGTAGGGTATGCGGAGAGGTGGCAGCGTGGGGACTGCAGAGTCAGGCCACCGCTCGGGCAGCCTCCAGCGCAGCCACCTGCTCCTGGGGGTCTCCTCCAAGGCCACGGCCGGGTATTGCTGAGGAAGGTCCCACCGGGTGCAGGGGTCGGCCCCGCTCAGGTATTGCTGGGCGGGCGGTGGGCAGCAGCTACCTGGTGCTCTGCAGCTCCTCCCGCAGCCAGGTGGGCAGCGTCTGCCCCATTTTGTACAGGAGCTTGGAGAGCTCTATGTTATGGTCCCTGTAATAGTCCCGCAGGAAGGCGCGTGACTGCAAGGGGAGAACAGAGAGGAGGGTCAGGGGGACCAGCTCCAAGCCCACCACCCCGACATGATCCTCCAGCCCCGACCTAGGAGGCTTTCTGCATACTCACATCTGAATCCATCTCAGGGTACTTCCTCCCTTTGCTCTTTCCCAAGCATTTCGTCTTCCCTCCATCCAGAAGCTGACACCAGAATCCTTTCTTTGGATCAAACCTGCGAAGCGAGAACTCTGCCTCACTCCTCTTGCCCCTCCATGCCTTCTGCAGGCAAGCACGCCGCTGCCCAGCCCTGCACAGGGGCACTTCTCCACCTCTTTTTAATCGACAGCCCAGCTAACATCTCATTATTGATCCCCTGGTACAACATGTTTCCTGTGAAGCTGCACAGTAAGCAGCCCGCTAAGGTTCTTTCATCACCGCATTGCCCTGCTACGGGAGGATGGTGGTCTACGTGGGTTTAATTACTATTTTCTGTGGCACCTTCGGCCCTGGATGCCCTCAAGAGCCCCATGGCTCGTGGGTGCAGACTCAGAGCGGCCACATATATAGGTAGGCCCCGCGCAGAGGTAAATTATTATTTTTCTAGGAGCTCTGGAGGCTCCTGTTTCCCATGGTGGGCTTTAATGTCTGGAAGGCTCAGAGCAAGGTGATACCCACGGAGGTGCCACACAGCCAGCAGCAAGAGCTGCGCTCTGCAGTGCGTGCACGAGGAGCTGGTGGGTGCAGACTCAGAGCGGCCACATATATAGGTAGGCCCCGCGCAGAGGTAAATTATTATTTTTCTAGGAGCTCTGGAGGCTCCTGTTTCCCATGGTGGGCTTTAATGTCTGGAAGGCTCAGAGCAAGGTGATACCCACGGAGGTGCCACACAGCCAGCAGCAAGAGCTGCGCTCTGCAGTGCGTGCACGAGGAGCTGGCGTGCCAGGACTCAATACCATCACATGCAGCATCGCAGGCTGAACTCTGGTCCAGGAGCCCAGAGCTGCTCCTGGGCTTCCTGGAGTGACACCACAGTCCCCACCACAGTGTCTGGGTAAGCACAGCAAAGCGGGTGCTTGTTGAATGTTACTTCAGATTGCAGGTACCCCACTGTAGGTTGCAGCAATGAGGAACTGCTGTGCCAGCCTCAGGTGAAACCCTGTTCTCATCAAAACCAGGAGCAGCACTGGGAACAACAGCAGGTTGGAGGAAGGAGAAGCTCAGGGAAGGACTCACGCCAGGGTCTTGTGGTAATCGATGAAGTTGGTCACGCCAAGGAATTTCTGGACCGTCTCCATCACTTTGGCAGGTTCCGTTCGGAGTAGCTTGCCATCCAGGACCAGGATCTGCAAGGAGCAAGACATGGCGGTGCGGTGCTGCTGGGGCACAATGCTGCCTTTGCCACACCTTTTGTAATCTCCAAGCCAAATTTGCCACCAACCGGCACAGGGTCCCTTTTTGAACGCTAATGTGCCTTGGTGTTCACTTACACTGGGTGTTGAAAAATGAAATGCAAATAAAAGCCAGGGTCAGGATCCAACCAGGACAACACCAGAGCTTCGGCTCAGGGCTGCCCAACCCATGGCCAGCCAGGACTGCATTACCAGCAGGAGACAACTAATAGACTTTGTAAGGTTAAACAATGGTGGAAAAATCATTCAGGGACTGAGCCCGTACACCGCCAGCAGTGTTCCACTGTGCGGTCACAGCAGGGCTGGCATCCAGCCCCCATTTCCCCTGCGGGCAGCCTGAACCACAGGCAGCTTTGCCTGTTATTTTTGTCCTGCTTCAATGCTGTGGTGACACCAGACAGGGCAGCCCCACGGGTGTCTGTGGCCAAGAGTGGTGGGTGAGTGGTGGGTGCCCCTGCAGAGCCACCCACAGCCCTCCACCCTGCAGCTCCCTTTCAACCCCACTTTGCCAGGACCAGCACAAGGACATCTTCGTGCATCGTCCATCACCAACATCCCACTACAAGGGTTTCCTTCTTGCGCGGTTAGCCTCCCCTCTGCCCCATCTCCAAGTACTTTTACTCTTCCCCTCGTGGTTTTTAGGATATAAGCAAAGCAGCTCCCATGGGAGCATCCTTGCAGCTGACTTTGGACCCAAGCATCCTTGCCTGGGTGAGGGGGGCTCCCTGGGGTGCTGCCACTGTAGGAGTGGGGTGCTCCCATCCCTACCTGGTTGGCGTGGTAGCTGTTCAGCCAGCGCTCGATGTGGGTAGCATACCAGCCTGGCACCAGGCAGCGGTTCTGCAGGGTTCGGAGCTTTGGAGCAGCCTCAGGTCCCGCCGTGATCACCTCGTGGAAGGTGTATTTCAGGGCGACTGGGTCATCGTGAGCTCGCTGGTGCTGTCAAGCAGGAACAAGGCAGGTTTGTTCCTGGAACAACCCAAATCCTGGGCTGCCCACAAGGCACTGTGGTTCCCAGGCCACCAGGCCATGTCCTCACGTATCTCGTTCAGCCAAAAAGCACAGTGTCCACAGCCACCCCACCCCCGAAACCAAGCTGATGGAGGGAAGCCCCTTGCCCACCACCCCACAGGGCTGCCCAAGCTGGGCGACAGGCAGAGGCAGGCAGCTCACCTGATACCAGGAGTAGGCTCGATCTGCAGGGTTGATGAGGATGGTGATGACTTTGGCCTTGGAGAGCAGGGCCGCGGCTCGCCGGGGAGCGACTTCTGAGTCAAAGTAGTTGGCACTTTTCTCGAAGTAGAAGTCAGAGGTGGTGTTGGAGGGGATGGGGAAAAACTCCATGTACCTGGGGGAGGCAAGGTGTGAGGCAGGCAGACAGGCACCACGAGATGTCCCCAGCACCCCTCCTTGCAGGTGACATCTCAGACACTCTGTACCAAGCATGAACCCTGCGGAGTCCCCCCGGGTCTGACACACAATCCCCTCCAGCCATTCTGGAGGGCCAAGCTTCAGCAGATTCCCCAGGCAGACCCTGTGCAGGATCTGTCCCACCTTGCAGCACCCAAGTGCCCTCCGCCAAAAGCCCGGCAGCTGCAAGGCTGATGGGAAACCCCACAGCACCACTGTTCCTGTTCCCAAAGCAAGTGGCCTCCCCAGCTGAGCCCCTGCAGCGCAGAGACCTACCAGTCGATGCCCTTGTGATAGTTGTGTCCATTAAAGAACTGTATCTCCTCGAAGGTCTCTGAGCTGGGGTAGTTGCTGCTCAGATCCGGATGCATCCCCAAGAAGAGATAAAGGGCGGTTGTTCCTTAGGACAGACAGAAAGCAAGAGCTGACTTGGGCCAAACCTCCCTCCGAGCTCTGCTTCAGGGCAGGAGGGCTGAGAGAGGCTCTTTGGGGGTGTCAGGGGGAACTGGCAAGCCTCCTGGCATGCTCACGGCACCGAAGGTGAAGGGAAGCACCTGTCTTTTGAGGCCCGATGATAAGAAGCTTTGGGAATCGGTCACAGGTCTTTTCTTTGGACCAAATATCTTTGTGTCGTTTGTCTTCACAGGGATCCTGAAACGCAGCGGGGAGGATTAGAGACAGGGCAGCCTGGATGAGACCACGCACCACTGCTCAGCACCCTCCAGTCCAAGCAGACACATGGGGAGGCCATGCTTCCCAGCAGGCAGGGCAAAGACCAGGCTTATCTCCAGGTCTACGGGGCAAACTCCTTCCTGGCACTGCTCGTGGATTGACAGAGGTGAAAAACTGCTGCTTTTCAGAGGGCAGAGCCAGCTAAACCCCACTTCCCTCTCCCAGCACAATAAGCGGAGCTGCTCCCCCCATTCCCAGCACAGGGGGTACCTGCCACAGCGGGTCCTTCTCCTCGGAGAAGATCTGGAAGTATTTCTGCGCCAGCTGCACAGGTGGCAACGTCTGTAGCTTTAAGTTGGTCCAGGAGTTGAGGAAGCGGACCAAGTGCTTGAAGGTGTACAAGCCCAGGCGGTCGTTGCCGTAATTGGACAGATGGGTCATGAAGATGCTGATCTGAAGCAGAGAGGACAGAGCACAGGTTAGCAGAGCTCCTCGGAGAAGATCTGGAAGTATTTCTGCGCCAGCTGCACAGGTGGCAACGTCTGTAGCTTTAAGTTGGTCCAGGAGTTGAGGAAGCGGACCAAGTGCTTGAAGGTGTACAAGCCCAGGCGGTCGTTGCCGTAATTGGACAGATGGGTCATGAAGATGCTGATCTGAAGCAGAGAGGACAGAGCACAGGTTAGCAGAGCCTCACCCGGCAGCCATCCCATGCAAATGGCTCCCACCCTGGCTAAGGACATCGAGGACATCTCCCACAGTGGTGCTGGGGGACAGCTCTGCACAAGACACCTGTCTATCTGTCCCCAGGCAGCCCGAGAGTAGTACTCACGGGGTTGAGGAGCACGGTCAGGAACAGTTCACCCCCGTTGATGATTTTGTCCAGCTCACTCGAGCCACCGGGGTATTCGTTGTAGAAGATGGTGTGCGTGAAAAGGCCGCAGGTTTGCCGGGGGAGTACCTGGGGCAGGAGAAAGATACGGATGGAGGAGGCAGAGGAGCCAGGGCAAGGAATGGCCTCCTCTGGGCATCCAGGGCTGGATGCCATTTCTCCTCCCAAACAAAAAGGGGGTCCTCAACCCCTCAGAGGTCAGGACCAGCTCCACTGTCCCTCACCACTCCCAACTTGAATCCTGCTATCCACAAGGGACAGAGCTGGACAGATAGAGAAGCCAAAAATTGTCCTCACACAAGCTTCCCCCGTGCAGGATGAGCAGAGGGCACAGCCCCCTCAAATCGAAGCATCCAAGCTGCCCAGAAACCACCTGCCAAGGTTCTGGGTTTTGGTGGGGGAGACAAGAGGAGAGAAGCACCAGAGATAAAAGCCTGGCCACCTACCATGATGCCATTGTGGATGAAGCCACGGCGATAGCGAGCAGGTTTCAGGTGGGGGTACTCCTCCGTGCTCGTCACTTTGATTGACCAAACCTGCTTCCAAGCTTCGTACAACTGCACATGGACAGGGTACACACCGGAGTGGTGGGGGGCCACGGCGTACCCCATGTCAGTGGGGATGCCATGCTCCTGCAGAGAAGAGAGCGGGGAGTGGGTGACCAGGAAGACCCCAAAACCACAATGTCCCAAACCAATCCCTCCCTAAGGGACTGCCCATTCCCAACTACAAATTGTCTGTTCGTGCCTCTGGAGAGCAGCCAGGGCAGGGCTGTGCCTGTGCATCCTCTCCTAACCAGGGCTGTCTCCATGAAAGGGAGTCTGGGAGCAGACATGCTGGGTGGACACTCGCTCCTCTGCTTCACATGGACCATCCTGATCCCTGTCATTTCTACTGTCACCAACAAAACAACAGCAGCAAAGCTCTTCTGTGGAGAATGAGGAGGTACATCTATACAGGACTGTAAATTGGCTTATATCAGTAGATATAAAACAGCCTGGAAATTCTGAGCTGGACAACTGCCCATACCAAGTAGGGATGGTCTGGTCTCTCTCTAATTAAGCACCTCTAATCATCAGACAATGAATTCAAGTTCACCTGAAGATTCCTCTCTTAGGCCATAGGACCCAATTATTACCACTGGGTCTGGCTTTACTTGTTTGGCTTGAAGACAGCTGTGAGCAAACCGGTTGATCACAGCATGATCTAGTCTCAATGCTGGCTTTATCAGGGCCACATAAAGGACAGTCCAAGAGGATGGACAACCCCTTACCAAGCTGAAGGTCAAGAGCCTGCCTTTATAAACCAAACACATTCCCGACAGCTCAGCCTGCAGAGGCAGTTTCCATCAGCCAGGGAGCCTCCCAGCACACGGCCGCCGCTCCAGGATCCCACATCGTTGCCCGGCAAAGCATCAAGCCACGCCAGGCAGAGCCCCCAAGCCGCATCCCTCCAGACTGGACCTCTGCATCCCCCCCGGCGCTGGGCCAGGCGGGCATGGCTGCAATGCACAGACTGTGTCTCCCCTCGAGCAGGCACCGGGGCAGCTCACTGCCACAGCAGCAAGTTGGCTGGTGCAGAAAAACCCTTTTTCTCCAGGTAGTAGCATATAAATGGATTTACCGACCCAGTGAGGGATGTGACTTAACGTCACCAGGTCCCTTTGCTCTGGCAAGCACAGACTGTTACCTGGGTTGCCCGGGAAGCCTCTTCGCCCCCCTTCTCCCATTCTCCCCCCCACCACAAGCACTCCCACCAGCGGCATCTTACTCACGACAGCGAATTTCTTGTTTAAGGTCATCTGTTCAGCAAGAACGGACTGGTTGTGGAAGAGGTGAGGCTGCATGTGGCTCCACATGTGGGGGAACCACCAGAACTCCCTCACGTAGGACAGCAGCAGGTCATCACCTTCGTCTTCAGCATCGGTACCTGCAGGCACGATGCTTGCCATCACCGCCGGGCACGCTGAGTCACGCGTGAGCAGCTGGGACAGAGGGAGGGGGAGCCCCTCTCGGCGACTGGGTGATGGGGACAGCAGGGTGGGATGCCCGAGGACCCTCCTGCAGCCCCAATGTCAAGCCTGTTTGCACTGGTTCGTGCCCCACCGCCAGCCATATGGCACCAACATGCAAAGCAACGCCCTCACCCTCCTCACCCGTGTGGAAGAATTTCCCTGAGTATCCCAAGTTGAAGGTGAAGTTCGGGATGTGGGTGCGCAGCTCGTTCTGCGTGTCAAACAGCGCCTGGGAGAGCGGGAGAGAAAGCAAGATGTTCTCAGCACTGTTTGCACTGGTTCGTGCCCCAACGCCAGCCATATGGCACCAACATGCAAAGCAACGCCCTCACCCTCCTCACCCGTGTGGAAGAATTTCCCTGAGTATCCCAAGTTGAAGGTGAAGTTCGGGATGTGGGTGCGCAGCTCGTTCTGCGTGTCAAACAGCGCCTGGGAGAGCGGGAGAGAAAGCAAGATGTTCTCAGCACACGGCCGTAGGGAGAGCTGCCACGCCAGGACAAGGACTTGTGTTCCCTGAGACCTTTGCAGAGGGACTCTTTGGGGCCAGGGGATGCTCTGGGAGCAGGAAAGCTCATCCCTGGAGCATCCCAGAGCAGACACAACCACCCAGACCTACACATCCCCTGCCCACCCAGCCAGGACATCACAACCGCACCTTGACATCTTCCACCTTCATGCGTGTGCCCTCCTTGCCCACAAAGATGTCGTCGATGTCCACCAGGATGTAGCGGTCGAGGGGCAGGGAGAGCCTCTTGCCCGTCAAGAAGGAGACAGAGTCCACGAAGACCAACTTGTGCAGCCAGAAGTTGAGGTTGTTGCCAAAAAGCACCCTCTGGATGCCATCATGGAGGCCCAGGTCCTGCATCACGGTGGTGTGCAGTGCTGCATCCACGCTCATGTGCGGGATGGACTCGGCCGACTTGGTCTTGGCCAGGAGGACCGGCTCGTAGGTGGAGTGGTTGGACTGGAAGACGGTCCAGTCCTCCCCGGGGAGCACACCCTTCTCCACCTCGCTGGGCCGTGTGATGTACAGCAGCGGTGACTTGGGGTTGATGCTGCAGTCCTTCAGCGCCAGGTTGGAGTGGAGGAAGAGGGGGAAGCCCTTCAGCTGGGCGCTCAGCAGGCTGTTCTCGTTGGCCTGCATGGGGGAGATGGGGGCTAGAGGAGACGGGACGCTGGGGATGAGTGCCCAGACTGGATGTGCAGGCAGGGGCTCACCGGGGGTGCTGATGGCAAGGGGGCAGGCAGCTCACCACCCCCGGGGATCCAGGTGCTGGGTCCCCCTCCTTCCTCTCCTGAGCATGGGGTGCCCTCATCCCCCTCACACGCTCAATCCTGCTCATGTCCAACATGCAAAGCACCCCGGGGCTGTGAGCCCTGGGCAGAAGGGCAGAGGGCTACTGAGCAAAATAGCTGCTCATGCTTTTGCTGAACCCCAGCAAGGGTCACTGCTGGGAAATGGGATGCTAAAAGCAACTGGACTGATCCCAGAGCTGTGTTTTTACCCTCAAAACACCCAGGGGCCGCACAGCCCTTCCACAGAGAGAGAGCTAAGAAGGTGCCCTCTGCTAGAAGCCTGTGCCCCACGCCAGGCTGCGGGCTGGCTCCACACCAACTCAGTCTGCTTGTAGAACGCAAGGGGAGGGCAAAGGCCCTGCAGGGCAGCAGGATCCCTGAGCCCCCCACCCACACCCAGCCTGGCTGCAGGGTCTTGGCTCACCCCGTGCACCCCCTTACCTTGAAGAAGCCAATGATGCCCACACCATACTCCACACAGTACTTGTCCAGCAGCTCCCGGTTCCAGGCATCCAGGTTGACGTACTTGAGGATGTTCTCGTAGATGATGAGCGCAAAGCGTCCCCGGTCCTTGTCGGTCAGCGTGGGCATGTCCCCCTTCCCAGGGGCAATCTCTGTCCTGTATTTGAAGCGACTTGACTCCAAAATGGCCACGATCTCCTGGCCCAGCTGGGAGTAGAGGCTCTCCACGAAGACCAGCACCAAGGGGTCTGTGCGGGAGGAGTCAACCACCTTGAGGGTCTTCAGCGGCAGCAAACGAGAAGGGGCAACCTTGGGCTCATCGCAGTCTGGCCCCACCACATCCCCAGAGGGCTCCAAGCCCCTTTTCCACCCATATAAATAATACGCAGAGACGAAAACACTGAGCAGGCAGAAGACGAAGAG